TTCCTCCTGACTTATCTTAAACTATTGTGTCTCATAATGTACTATGAAAATATAGTTAGTTCAACAAACAGCAAAATATTGCAAGATCTTATTTAAAATCTCAAAACAATTCTAAATCTAGAGCAAACAAATAGTATTTAAAACCAGGATTTAAAGATGAATTATATGATGAAAAGCATTAGATAACAGTTAAAGATTAATGCTTGTTTAGGGTCAATAAGTTATCAAGAAACTTAAGCATAGAGTAATCACATAAAAGCCAAATTTACTTTTAGCCCTACTTAGCGATGATCAATTAGAGTAGTTGGAAAGTATTGGATATAACTATCCATCGGTTTAATTTATCTTTATATCATTTACTTATTAGATGACGTTGTTTTTAGAAACAGTTGTCTTGTACTATTAGCTTTCAAAGACATGCAGTGGTGTACGTAAAATACCGCTTGAATTAGACTAGGAATTGAATAGGCTAGATGAATTCTTCGGATGTAGATCAACCACAAAAACCAAAGGATAAAAGCATCTCAGTATATTGCTAAGCTTATTATTGCACTAAAATGTAGTAGGAATGGGTTAGGAGATAAATAGCAGTAATTAATGGAGTTGATAAGTATTCATACTAAAGTACCATATGTAATAACAATCACTAACTGAAGTCTTCAACGATAAATCTGAAAAAAAAAAGTCTGAAATGATGCAGATGTTTATCTTCCTTGTATCTTCTACTTTATAAACCAAAAATTCTATCAATCTGGTTGTTCTTTAGTTTAATTATTTCATAACTTATAATATTATACTTCCAAATTTCACTGCGCAAATCGTCAGATTACATTTAATCACACGAAGCAACTCAATAGTGAATACATTAAAGAGAAAAAATGTATTTGTAAAATCTCAGCGAATGAATTTTAAGTAAATCCAACGTTTCGCCTGGCAATCTGGTCCAAGCTTTTTCAAGGAAAATATAATCAAACAACAAAATTATCGATAATTTTGTTGTTTGATTATATTTTCCTTGAAAAAGCTTGGACCAGATTGCCAGGCGAAACGTTGGATTTACTTAAAATTCATTCGCTGAGATTTTACAAATACATTTTTTCTCTTTAATGTCTCACATTAACTCGGCGCCCAAATATTGTGAAACTATTCGTTCAAATTTAGACGAAAGTTCTTATTTATCAATAGTGAATATGTCTAAATCTAAACCTCCAAAAAATATGTAACGTTAATTCAGTTGTAAATATGTTTTTCAACATTGTTCAATTAAAATTATTATAAATTTCATTATTCATAATGATTAAGAATAATCTGACATATTTTTGTCATCTATTTCCCCCTCTTTACCTTATATGCTTTTAATACTAATTTACCAATATAAAAAAACATTAAGTATCAAGTCAATTAAGTGGAAATTTAGATTTATAAAACAACCCATGTAATAGTACACAAATAACATTCAACTTATCTACCTAATAGTTATCATGGCATATATAAATGATTATTACCATTCGACATTATTACTTTATTTGATAATATCACATGTTGAGTTGTATATAGTAGTACAATGGATAGTACGAATGAAAAAATAAATAAATAAAATTTACAATACTACTTACATAAAACATTATGATTATAGTCAATATTATTAACAATGAAAAAAGTTATCTAAAAATTATCATAAAACAAAAATTGCCATCAAATGGAATGGATTTAAAAATCCAGTGAGCTAATTTATGTTTATTCAATAAGTTAAAAACGAAAAATAATAAATGGGTTAAAGGTGCCAAGATATATTCCTTTCAGAGGGCATCTAGAATATATATATATATATATATATATATATATATATATATATACATATATATACAGTCAATCAATGATAACTAGATTTCATCGGTTTATCAGATGGCATTAATCCAATAAATTAAAAATAATCCTTTTATTATGGTCATTATATGATTAATGAAATATAATCTGTCCACTTAACGTAGTCTTATAAATCGGATTAACTGAAGGTCATACGGTTTTGCAGTGATGTTGTCTTTTGAAAGTTATTTAGGTACTTTCAAAAATTTATTCATTAAGAGTTTATGAATGGTTCAATGACCGAAGTTTAAGGTATCACTATAAAAATTTGACTTGATAATTTCATACAAAGTGAGTATTGAGTAGCTTATTTACCTTAAAAATAATGATGGATATGTAATATCTCAGTGAGTTAAAAAAACAAATCAAATTTCTAACATTTCTCAAGGTAGTTTGGTTAGTTTCTTCAGAGAATGAACAATTAGACGAATTAAATTGAGTATACTCAAGCTACTTAGCAAAATCGCAAAATATCGCCTTGACTAAAGTGAGATGACACCGACTTGACCAAATTTGCTTTTTTAGTGGTATTAAATATTTTTGCCTTGGAATGCCAACATACAATTTGTCAAGAGAAATTTCACGAATATTGAAACATTTCGTAAATTCATCCAACCATTCCATCAAATCCCCCACACAATTTCTTGATCAGATTAAGAACATTAAATGTTTTTACTTTGTTGCTTTGCACTGTTTAAACTATATATAATGGATGCTTTTACTGTTCTAATTCCAGTTGCACAGAACTAGCTGATAATAATAAAACTTAGATGTGGGTAGAAGTGAATTTTTTTATGTTCGTTTGTAGAACATTGAATCAGTAATATCCAAGTTTATAGTTTTAATTCACATGAAAAATCAGTAATTAGTTAACTTCATTTTTAGTCTTCACACCATATAAAATTCTTTCTTTTAGGTCATTTAAAATATATAAATACATCCTGTATGCAATCAGTCGTATTTAAATAATAACATTTCTTGTAATTCGTTTAGTAATAGAAGAACTAAATCTACAAGGAATAGACCGAAGATCCTTTCTATTGAATAGTTAACAAAGAAGTACAAGCACTGAACAACTGGCTGAAATTTTTGCAATGAAATAAAACAACTGGTTATCTATGAAAGATTCAGTGAAATGAAAACTGGTGTGAATTATGTGTTTAGTTACTGATAATCTATGAATTGTGCGAAGAGCGATACTATCCTTCTATAAATCTTGTCGAAAATGTTTACTTTTTACTAGAACTGAGAGGACTGAAACAAAGTCATATAAATCGTCGAATTTCCCGATAAAAAAACTACTCATCTATAAATTTATGACTTGCATAAATGAACCAATTTAAGCAGTATAAATCCATGAAGCATCTTTTATTTGCTCCTATCTTAGAGATAATTTGATTGCGATTTATTTACTTGCACATGAAGCTTATGATTTAACTGGTTTATGAAAATGAGCTCTGATCTTACAAACTTGAAAGGATCAGTTTAATTCATTTGTCGAAATATACATGCTCTTATTCATTTGTAAAGCCTTTACCGATGGAACAATACTTACTGTGGAACAGTGTTCATAAAAAAGTGATAACCTTATGATCACTAGTGTTTCATTTGAGTTATGATTATTGATATATTTGCATAACTATTGATAAGTAAAACAATAGATTGAGGTGGCTGGTAAAGTAAATACTCACTTAACGGTGATGAATTTTATTCATGTTTTAATTGTGACCTAATCCCTCTCATCTACTGAAGTGGTTTCAATAGAAATAAATTATTATCGTTGTATATGGAATCTAACCGAAATAACAAAACTCTGTCCTAAGTTTAAACAGATATTTTACATGTATCAAAAGTATTGTCAGTCAGTAAAAGAATCCCAACAACTACAGTAATAGATGTTAATGGTTGATTAGTGCTGAAGAAAAATAGGACTGATTATTATTAAAAAGCTAACTAGTTAATCTGATTCATTTGTATTTATAGTACTTCAACAGCAGTATTCGTGATTTTGACTTCAGAACATAAATGTTTGAGTTTTTAATCAAAAATGAATTTCTACGAGATTCCAAAGATAATAATGTTGATGAACGATATCAAGAGAAACAAGACCTTTTTTGTGTTCTTTAAGAAATTTCTTCGACCTATCGAAACTAAACACAGTTAATGATTAAGTCAACTCGCTTACAGAGCATTAGCATTGATACTGTGGACGCCATAGTATAACATTTTTTACTGATATCAAACCAGTAGTTCACTTAATATTTATGATGAATACAACTATATGTAAGACATATTAGTAGTGAACATATCCAATTCAAATGAAGACAATTGTTAAACCGTGCTTACAAACGTATTGAAATCTAACGAAAGAAAGTTAGCTTTTATGAATGAGTAAAGTCATGGTTTTCTAATAAAATGCATGTTTTCTCCAACAATAAATGTAAGACAAATATTTGGTATTGATAATCACCATCACCAAACACTTGATACAGAATTAAATCATTCTCTTCTATTCAAATATCCTGAGTGTTTGAAAAATGGTGTAATTACTACATGGAAACTTTGATAAACTTTAACGTACTAAATTTTGGTAAAATGAACTATTATACACCTCTTACTTTTCTGATAATCAATATTTTTGTAATGATGACCTGTAAATTCGCTTAGAAAATAAAGTTTGCTATCACATATTATCGTAATACCAATTATACCAAACAGTTTATGAAGTGACCTATTCTTGTAGTCAGCCGATTTTCTATTCTTGGGGGTTTTGCGGTTTCTTATCACCAATTAATGTCATCCATAGCCATTAGTGAAAGTTGTTTTATTCCAGTGATCAATGTTGTGTACCAGAATTCCGGAAATTATCTCTTGATGTAAGTCGTGCAATATCACGAATTGGTTAAAGTCGGATGTCGTTTCAGATGATTTGAAGTATGGACGTTATGAGTTGGATTCCTCACGGGACTAGTGCACTCCGTTGAAATGTTCATATTAAGATGAATTAGCTATCTAGTACTTTCTGAGCTTTGATGGTTAACTAACCAAAACTAATCTTTGGTGTGAAACCTCGAAATCAGAAATCAACATTTAATTATAGCATCCATGATCGTTTATTGTAATAGAAAAATCATTTTTGATTTCTGTATAAATAATTTTATTTATCATTTTTATTAATTATTGACAAGAAAGACATTTATTTATGTTTTGTTCAAGTATACAGACATGATTATATGATTACACAATTATATGATTATATATTTTCTTTAAAAAAAATCGTTGTTCATCAGTATAAGTTAGACGCATCCCATTGGATTACAAAAGAACCGACGTTCTCTTCCAAGTGTATTAAATGGTTTTTGGTTTACACCAGCTCGATTCAATCCATGTATCCATGGTAAATCACCATGAGATGTCTGATTATGTAACGAATGTAAATGCAAGTAAAGAAAAAACAAAAAAAATAATGTTAAATTAGACAAAATTACTTTATAACGTTAGTGTTTTGTTTTAATACTACAGAAAGTAGTAATTTGAAATAGAACTAACATAGAAATTAACCATTAATTATGTTTTCTTTTCATTATTATTTGCTTGAATTTGTCAATTCTTAAACATAACAATTAAATGTATTTAACTATACTTAACAATAAATATCTAGCTGTATTAAATTTTACAATGTCTTTTTTAACAAGTTATTCATATCGTGATATTTCATGACATTGATCTAATTGTTACTGTTTTTTCTTCTTTTTTTAATTGTGATTTAACGATAGATGTGATGATTTATTCTAGAATTCTAAACTATACAATTGGTATAATTCTTTATGAAATTTCAATAGTTGAAATCATGAATCATTTGAAGCTAGACCACCATGGAAAACCTGGAAGCACTGAACAGCCGTTTCGTACTGGTATGGGATTCCTCAGCAGTGCGCATTCACGATCTTTAAGAAATGTAACTCTTTATTTTGAAAAAAATATGATAACTTTTGAAATAGAATAATAAAACAGAATAGTACGAAACCTAGGTTCAAAGTTTTTTATTGACTACCTCCAACAACCATCTTATCTCAACATAGTGCACGCAATGTCGAGTCACGCAAACTGGTGGCAACACTACATCTTGGTCGATAGGATTCGATCTGCACTAAGTAGGACCTAACATACATGACAATGTTCACCACCCAGTGATCAATTAATTCTAAAAGAATAGTACTACAACTCTGGGGAGAATATTAATTACTCACCAATATTAATAGTAAGCATGCGATTGATGTTTTTCCTTATTCCTTAAAAGTACCTATCGACAAGCTAACCAACGATTGAATTTTATAATTTCAGGCTCATGATATCAACGATACAACTGAATGACTGATTTGCAAATGGATGATCTATATTTCTATTTTCAGTCAGTTTGAGCGACAGTCATTCAGTGTGATTGGTTATTTAACAAATGTTGAATCGAAATTTCAAGGATCTATAGTCGAGTTAAATCATGAACTGACTGAAGTTTGAAGTACGAACCTATCAAACAAAATATTTTTTACTGAACTGCTGAGTTCAGTTAGCCACTCGTTTATACAATGATGTGAATTTTAATTCATCTTGTCGATGGAAAGATTAAAACAATCAACACAAGATAAATGATTAGAACACTGAGTAGTTTATTCATTAAAGCCCGTAAATGTCAGATCAAGTTTTTTAATTAGCGCATTCTTCCATAATCTGATTTCAAATTTTTATATCCTGTGACCTAATTTAGATTTTCCAATTCATATTTATTATAATAGTTGAGATCATGAGTTAATTGAGGCTAGACCACCATGGAAAACCTAAAAGCACTGGACGGACGTTTCATCCTAATATGGGACTGCTCAGCAGTTCACATCCACGATCCCGCCTTGTAAGACTCGAACCCAGGACCTATCGGTCTTGCTCGCAAACGCTTGGCATCTAGACCACTGGACCGACATCCAACAGTTTTGATGTCTAACTTCAACCAATTCACGAAATTGAGCGACATATCCACCATTGTATTAAGTGAGTTACTATCTCACAACAGACCCGGTTGAATTCCACTGGTCACTGCTTATTTATTGTTTATTTTATGATTTTCTAGATAATAACTAGGCTAGTAAGTGCTAGAATGGATTAATTGAACTTTAAATATTAATGAAAATATTGTAAGATATTACTGAAATGTAATTTCATTAGTTATTCGATTTCTATTGACTATTGAAATTAGTGAGTAATATAATTTCACTAATAAATTAAAAGAACAACAAAGGGGTTTTGTGGAGATTGTGGTAATTTAATAATTGAATTCATGAGTTAATTGAAACTAGACACCATGGAAAACCTGGAAGCAATTGACGGATATATTCGTTATAGTATGGGACTTCTCAGCAGTGCGCATCCACGATCCCTTCTCGCGAGATACGAGCCAAGGACAAAACTGCGTCTACAAATTAGGTTGTATCGATTGTGATGCCTATTATATTGGAGAGTCATCCCGCGAAATCTTGACTAGAGCCAAAGAACATATTAGGCACACAAAGAAACCTCCTAACAATCCTGTAGAATTGAACCAACTTCAAATTAAATTGGCAATAGCAGTTCATGCCATTTTCAACAACCACCAAATCGATTTTAAAAATATCAAAAGATTGCAAAAGGGCTTTTCCAACTACAAAGAAAGAAGGGTAGCTGAGGCGTTCCATATAATGCTTAATCCTACTTCTCTCAACAGAAAGGAAGGCCTTACCATACATCCTACTTGGACCATTTATCCTAGCCACTCAGTCTGATCATATTACAAATTTAAACTCTATCCCATCTTACCATAAAGGTCACACAATTTTTCATTTTTAAACAATGCACACATACATACACATGCAAATTCACATACATATCACTTATGAATCACCTTGACAAAAATGACATGACATCAACTTGTTCATATCTGTTTTTTGATTGATCAAATATTATTCTTGTATTGTTCCGTTGTACTATTTAAACTTGGATTAATTTTAATTTGGTTATTTATTCTCTGGAGAAGTGACTTACACTAAGCCGCGAAACGTCAGAAAAACTAATTTTCTACTCATTGGGATATTACAAATATATTATTTATTTACAAGGACCTTAACGATTAACCTTTAGACTATTGAGCTAGCCGGCATCCAACGATGCTAATGTCTTACTTCAACCAATCCAGATTTTTCGTGGTGGTCTAGTTTCAATTGACTCATGAATTCAATTATTAAAAGAATAAGATTAAAAAATAAACTGTTTTAAAATTATACGATCTTTGCACCAAAATAGTCAATAAGATCTATTGTATTTATAATAATGTTTCTGGAGTTTCATTATACCATTTCTGGTCTTTTTACTATTCAGTTTATTTGTTGATCAAATTCGAAACGATCAATTCAATTTATGGTATGTAAATTAATATTTTTACAAACACAAATCATGTTTATATTTTCGGCTTAATTATGAATTTTAGTTTTTGTATTATAGGATTTATTTTGTATATCAACTGGAGTGTTAACAAAGAGAAATACATCAACAACAAAAAAAACCAAACCATCCACGTTACTTTAGCGATATTGAAGATATTCAACATCACGAATGAAATGTACTTCCTATCTCATAAGAATAATTTATTTTCTCCTATTCGTTAAGGATATTTAGTTTTGTATATTTGAAGTGTACAATAGTATTTGGATAAATTTTATCCATTAATATTAAATGATTCATAAGGGAAACATAAGTGATAAAAATAAGTTAAACAATGTATGAATATGTAATTTCTCTTAGTGTATTTGTCGTAATAATTTATCTAAATATACTATTAGATTGTATACAAATATTTTCAAGTCATATGGATCATGCAGCCTAACATTTTTTTTATCGTAAGTTATATCTTGTTTGTTACATATTGTCATCTGTACATAATAAGAGTCTTTAATTTTAGATTAGTTTGGATAATTTACGGTGCTGTTAAATCAATAAAACTGAAAATATTCATAATTGAACCTTACATAACTGTTTCCGTTTTTTGTTTCAAAACAGATCAGAGTTTTTTAGTTAGTAAGCAATAATCTATCAGATCAGATAGACAAATAGCAAAAGTTGTGTGTCTCATATTCAGTTAATGTAGCTCTTTATCTGAAGAAATCTTTTTATATATTTCGACTTTTGAAAGATTTTTTGTTTAGCTAACATGAATCTGTAGGTTACAATGTTAATGAATTACATCTCAAATTACCTTGAACTTCAATATTATGTCATTTGAAGTGATAGGCTGTAGAGAATTGAAATTATATTTTTATGTGTATACTGATAGGTTGATAGAGACTCATCAATGATAACTTATCAATAAAACTACTAGGATTATTTATTAATGATAAGAACAATATAAAATTATAATAAATGATAATAAACCAATTAATAATAAAATATACTATGATAAACTAACCGGATATTTTAATGATGAACAGTGAGAAAAAATTTAGAAAATAATAAATTTGTATATTGCTGAATTATGAAGAAAGAACATATGAAATTCATAGAATAAGAGATACTTAAAGCTTAAAGCTGAGTGTTTCCTTAGAGAATATTGTTGCTTCCATTTGACTTTGGTGGTAAATATTAGTAGTATTTAAATTAACTTGGTATTATTTACTTGAATCTTCTTATTGATGTTTAGGACTGCCATTAATCATCCTGTTATTGGCATATGTGCATACTGCGTGTATTGCCTCGATATTGCCTTAATTCACAAGAATTATAAGCAAAGATGGATAGTGGCTAGCAGTGGAATCTAGGACACGCATTTCCTCCTAGCTAAGTGGATAATTCGATGGAGTTTGAAGCGAACAGTACTGGTTTCGAGACTGAAAGTGAACATCTACTCTGAGTTAATTGAAACTGGACCACCATGAAAAATCTGGAAGCAATTGACGGACATTTCATCTTAATATGGGACTCCTCAACATTGCTCATCCACGATCCCTTCTCGTGAGATTTGAGCCAAGGACTTTAACGATTAACCTTTAAACCACTGAGGTGGCCGGCATCCAACGGTGTTAATGTCTAACTTCAACCAATTCACGAAATTGAGCGACGTATTCACAATTGTATTAAGTGAGTTGAACTACACTGGTCCAGTGCTTCTCACTAGAACTTCAGGAAATAACTCTTATTATTATAACTCATTATTTAGTGTGAATAAATTTTCACTGATTCGTGATCATTTTTTGAGTTTTTTTCTGTTTTTTAAAATTTTTACATGGTAATTAACTAGAATTATTTATTAATGAATCTTATCCTTATCATTATATAAATTATCTCAATTATGAACTAATGGTACTCTTTTTATTTGATTTAACTATGAGATTTACAACAA